ATGAGGCGCGAACGACTCCAGCGCAGACGAGGTTTTGGAGAGTGTTGAGGTTATGTGTGTGTGTGTGTGTTTTCTACATGACCCATCAATACATCAACTCCTTCGAATACTACAAGAATACTTCATGTCTTGTTTTGTTTTTGATTCCACACATACGCTATACCAACCCTATGTAGCTCCACACATCCACCCACCCACCCACACCGACCCACATACAAGGTCTCCTCTGTACATGACACTTTTGGCTGGAATGCATTCTCCTCCCCAAAAAGCGACCCATTTTAAGTAGAGAACACGTAATGAAAATTCAATAACTTCAAAAAAAAAGATAAACAGGAACCATCATCACAAAAAAAAAAAAAAAAATAATTGGAATTGATATTTATTGCCTTTAGAGTTTCATCTACGTGTGTTCGTTTTACTTGTATGTCCCGTGTAGCTAAGACCTCCCTCTCGTGACTTAAAGAGAGTGAGAAAAGACACGAACTACTGTGACTTACCCTAATATGGTGGCTGGACTCCTAATATGGTGTGGCTGACCCTAATATGGTGTGGCTTACTCTAATATGGTGTGGCTTACCTCAATATGGTAGTGACTGACTCATATGGTATGGCTGGACTCTAATATGGTGTGGCTTACCTAATATGGTTGACTTATGGTGGCTGACTTCATGGTATGGCCTAATATGGTGGCTTACCTCTAATATGGTGTGGCTGACCCTAATATGGTGTGGCTGACCTCCAATATGGTGTGGCTGACTCTAATATGGTGGCTGACTCTAATATGGTGTGGCTTACCTCAATATAGTGTGGCTGACTCTATGGTGTGGCTTGCTCTAATATGGTGTGGCTTACCTAATATGGTGTGACTGACCTCTAATATGGTGTGGCTTACTCTAATACAGGTGTGGCTGACTCTCTATGGTGTGGCTTACTCTAATATGGTGGCTGAACTCTAATATGGTGGTTGCTCTAATAATATTGTGGCTTACTTAATATGGTGTTTACTTAATATGGTGTGTATGACTCCAATATGGTGGCTTGCTCTAATATGGTGTGTTGACTCTAATATGGTGTGGCTGGACTCTAATATGGTGTGGCTGACTCTAATATGTGGCTGACTAAAATGTTGTGGCTTACTCTAATATGGTGTGGCTTACTCTAATATGGTGTGGCTGACTCTAATATGGTGTGGCTGACTTAATATGGTGTGGCTGACTCTAATATGGTGTGGCTTACCTCTAATATGGTGTGGCTTACTCTTATATGGTGTGCTGACTTAATATGGTGTGGCTTACCTAATATGTGGTGTACTGACTAATATGGTGTGATTGACTCTAATATGTGGTGTGGCTGACTTAATATGGTGTGGCTGACTTATGGTGGGCTGACCTCTAATATGGTGTGGACTCTAATATGGTGTGGCTGACTTAATATGGGTGGCTGACTCTAATATGGGTGGCTGACCCATGGTGTGGCTGACCTACATGGTGGCTTACCTAATATGGTGTGTATTACTTAATATGGTGTGGCTGACTCCTAATATGGTGTGGCTTACCTCTAATATGGTGTGGCTGACCCAATATGGGTGCTTACTCTCAATATGGTGTGGCTGACCCCACATGGACTCACCGCATGGCGACAATTCATGTGGCTTACTCTAATATGGTGTGGCTGACCCTAATATGGTGGCTGACCTAATATGGTGTGGCTTACCTCTATGGTGGCTTACTCTAATATGGTGTGGCTGACTCTATTGTTGGTGGCTGACCCTAATATGTGGCTGACCTTAATATGGTGTGGCTGACTCTAACGGTGTGGCTTACTCTAATATGCATTTAATCCTATTTGACCTAACATGGCATTGACCCAAAAACATGGCCATCCCAACCCCAATCCAAACACTAATTCCACCACCCCACCAACTCCATCCACCACACCATCCAATCTCACTGGCCAAACTGCTGAGAACCCACAAACTGAACCCAGACGGCTTGATCCTCCCACAACCCAAAAACAGCCCATGAGATATGAGCTAAATGATATGCCAGCTCACCCTGCAAGTAAGGGGAGAAATGTTATGAGCACACAATCTATCTTCTTCATATGAATCTACTCCCCCTCATAGGACGCTACAGTCATGTGGGGCTGTCCCTCCAGAGTGCATTTGTCTCTCATAATGATGACACATACAGTACACATAGATCCGAGCACACATTCCTCCTCCCCCACACCCCTCCCTCCCCACACACTCCCCTCCCCACACCTCCCCACACACCTCTCCCCCCTCTCCCCACACCTCCCCACACACCACTCCCCTCCCTCCCACACCTCCCCACACACCTCCCTCCCTCCCACACTCTCCCCAACACTCCCTCCTTCACACTCTCTCCCACACACTCCTTCCCTCCCACACTCCTCCCTCCCTCCCCACACCTCCCCACACACCCTCCTCCCTCCCACACCTCCCTCACACACTCCTCCCTCCCTCCCACACACCTCCATACACTCCTCCCCACACCCCCTCCCCACACACTCCCTCCCTCCCCACACCTCCCCACACACACCCCCTCCTCCCCACACCCTCCCCCACACACTCCCTCCCTCCCTCCCTCCCCACCCCTCTCCACACACCCCTCCCCTCCCCACACCCTCCCCACACACCCTCCCTCCCCACACCCCCTCCCTCCCTCCCCACACTCTCCTACACACACACCCTCCTCCCACACCTCCCACACACTGCCTCCCTCCCACACCTCCCCACACACCTCCCTCCCACACACCTCCCCACACACCTCCCTCCCCACACTCTCCTACACACACCCCTCCCCTCCCCACACACCTCCCACACACCCCTCCCCTCCCCACACCTCCCCACACACCCTTCCCCACCACACCCTCCCTCCCACACTCTCCCCACACACTCCCCTCCCCACCACACCCTCTCCCCACACACCCCTCCCCCACTCTCCCACACACACTCCCTCCCCTCCCCACACCTCCCCACACACACTCCCTCCCTCCCACACTCTCCCACACACCTCCTCCCCACACTTCCCCACACACACTCCCTCCCCTCCCACACACCCTCCCTCCCCTCCCCTCACACCCCCTCCCCACACACACTCCCTCCCTCCCCAAATCCTCCCCACACTCTCCTTCCCACACACTCCCTCCTCCCCTCCCCACACCTCCTCCCCACACCCTCCTCTCCCCACACCCCCTCCCACACACCCTCCCCTCCCACACCTCCCCACACACACTCCCTCCCTCCCCACACCTCCCCACACACACCCCCTCCCTCCCACATCCCTCCCACACACACCCTCCCTCCCCACACCTCCCCACACACACTCTCCCCTCCCACACCTCCCACACACCCCTCCCTCCCACACCTCCCACACACTCCTCCCTCCCACACCTCCCACACACCCCCTCCTCCCACACTCTCCACACACTCCTCCTCCCACACTCCCTCCTTCCCTACCACACCCCTCCTCCCACACTCTCCCCACACACTCCCCCTCCCCTCCCCACACCTCCCCACACACACTCCCCTCCCTCCCCACCTCCCCACACACTCCCTCCCCTTCCCCACACCTCCTTCCCCACCACACCCCCTCCCTCCCCACACCCTCCCACACACCCCTCCCTCCCTCACACCTCCCCCACACACCCTCCTCCCACACCTCCCACACACACCCCTCCCTCCCCACACCTCCCACACTCCCTCCTTCCCCACACACCTCCCTTCCCTCCACACTCTCCCCTCCCTCCCCACACCCCCTCCCCACACACTCCCCTCCCTCCCTCCCCACACTCCCTCCCCACACACACCCTCCCCCTCCCCACCTCTCCCCACACACCCCCTCCCTCCACACCCCCACACCCCCTCCCTCCCACACACCTCCCACACACTCCCTCCCCTCCCACACACCCTCCCTCCCCACACTCTCCACACACACCCTCCCTCCCACACTCTCCCCACACACTCCCTCCCTCCCCACACACCCTTCCCTCCCACACACTCCCTCCCCTCCCACACCTCCCACACACCTCTCCCCACACACACTCCCTTCCCTCCCACACCCCCTCCTCCTCCCACACCTCCCCACACACTCCCTCCCCTCCCACACACACCCCTTCCCTCCCACACTCTCCCACACACTCCCTCCCTCCCCACACTCTCCCCACACACCCTCCCTCCCCACACACACTCCCCACACACCCCTCCCTCCCACACCCTCCCCACACACCCTCCCTCCCACACACACCCCTTCCCTCCCCACACTCTCCCACACACCTCCCTCCCTCCCCACACACCTTCCCCCTCCCACTCTCCCCACACACCCCTTCCTCCCACACTCTCCCTCCACACCTCCCCACACACCTCCCCACACACCTCCCTCCCTCCCACACCCCCTCCCCTCCACACTCCCCACACACCTCCTCTCACACACTCCCTCCCTCCCACACCCCTCCTCCCTCCCCCACACCCCCCACCCTCCCTCCCTCCCCACACCTCTCCCACCCTTCCCTCCCCACACCTCCCACACACACCTCCTCTCTCCCCACACCTCCTTCCCCACCACACACCCCCTCCATCCCACACTCCCTCCTCCCTCCCTCCCCACACACCCCTTCCCCCACACCTCCCACACACTCCCTCCCCCTCCCTCTCCTCACACACTCCCTTCCCTCCCCACACTATCCCACACCCCTCCCTCCCTCCCCACACACTCCTTCCCTCCCACACACCCCTCCTTCCCTCCCACACACTCCTCCCCTTCCCCTCCCCTCCCACACCCCCCTCCCCACACACCTCCCTCCTCCCTCCCTCCCCCTCTCCCCACACACTCCTCCCTCCCACACACTCCTTCCGTCCCACACACCCTCCCACACACTCCCCCCTCCCACACACTCCCTCCCACTCCCCCTCCCCCTCCCACCACTCTCCCACACACTCCTCCTCCCACACTCTCCCACACCCTCACCTCTCACGGCAGCAGCCCTACGGTCCTCCAGGGTGGTGATGGTGACCGCTACCTGGGTGTCGACGTACATAGCTAGGCCAGGTCATGATAGAGAGGTACCTCCTGCTGGCGGCCTCCCGGTACCTGGCCTCCTTCACCGTCAGGAGATACACTGTTGTTGTTGGCCTCTACCTCATTACCTAACGCGTTGAGGGCCACCAACCCGATCTGTGGGAGGCAAGAGAGGTGTGAAATGGTAGAATTGGTAGGTGGTTATTGTCGTCAGATGGTGTAGTTAAGACAGACAGACAGACACAAGAGACCTGGGGGACAAAAGTTAACATTAAAATAACTCATCTACAGGTTAATTAACATCACACGTTAACATTCACAAACTCAATGACAACAAGTAAAATACTCAAATATATCTTATTAACATTTGACACCTGTCTATTTATCATCCATATATTGTTAAATTTATGTTAATAGGGATTAACATTTACATATCTAATTATTAATCATAGTTAAATATGATAAATTTAACTCACCTGCTTACTTTTTTATATACCTGTTAATTATCACTCAGGTGTTGTTAAATTACTACATTACCTATACAATTAGTTACAATGTTAAATTTACCTGTGTGTTAATTATATTGTAAAGGTAAATTAACACCAAGGATGGGAATAATATCATTCTATTTTATGTTGTTGATGGTGTAAGCCTCTCTCTCACTCTCTCTCACTCTCTCACACTCTCTCACACTCTCTCTCACTCACTCTCTCACCTGGTTGTAGAGGTTGATACGATTCACGTGGTTCTTATGCAACACTAGTTTAAGGAAGGTGCCTGTACACTCGACCGTCACGCTCTTGAGCTCTCTGGCTTTAAACTGAGAGTGTTCGTTGTCTGAGAGCGTCACGTAACCCAACAAGGCGAATTTAGCGTTGTACAGTGTGACTTCCTTCCCGGGCACGACGTCACCAATGTGGAGCTCTACTTTTTCCGCTGTTGAGAGAGAGTGAGAGAGAGAGAGAGTGAGAGAGAATGAGTGAGAGGGAGGGAGAGGTGAAGGAATGGGGAGGGGAGAGTGAGAGGGAGGGAGAGGTGAATGAGTGAGAGGGAGGGAGAGGGAGGGAGAGGTGAAGGAGTGGGGAGGGGAGAGTGGAAGGGAAGGATGGAGTTATTGAGAGGTGGAGAATGAGTGAAGAGAGAGAGAGAGAGAGAGAGAGAGAGAAAGAGAGAGAGAGAGAGAGAGAGAGAGAGAGAGAGAGAGAGAGAGAGAGAGAGAGAGAGAGACCCCACTTACAGACAAAAACACACCAAAGGATCAGTAAGGACAGGACACTAATTACACTCACACAATATTAATTACTATAATAGTTACAACCAGAAAAGTATAATTATATGAAGTTATAATTAATCTCTATAACTAACTATAATAATAATTAATTAAGCTAATAAAAGTCTTTTTAGTAATTACAAGAGCTAAAATTATATTATTATTTTACCTACAATTATATTTATATTTAATTTTACCTTCTAGTCTAGTAAATTAGTTAAAGTCATTATAATAATTAGTTAAGAATCGTGCAATGAAATTGATAATTAATGTTTAATGACCTTGTTAATAGAATGCCAGTGTGTGTGTGTGTGTGTGTGTGTGTGTGTCTGTGTGTCTGTGTCTGTGTGTGTGTGTGTGTGTGTGTGTGTGGATGAAGTAACACACAGGAGCACCACACCTGCGCCACACCTTTTAACATTCCCTATTATTCAGGTGTTGTCAGACCCCACAGGTGTGACAGGATGAGAGAGAGAGAGAGAGAGAGAGAGAGAGAGAGAGAGCCACACTATCACCTCCCTTTTCTAATTTCACCTTCACCCCCTCCTGAACCAATTCTTCCTACTCCTCCATATATAGAGTCTCAGCGTCACTTGGCTATATTAGATTTTTTTCTAGTGCTTAAGCGAAACAAAATACAAACCAATATCCAAGATGGCGGCACAATTACGCTGAGACTATACATGGTGCTTTTAAGACAGAACTGAACACGTAACCATTCCTAAATCATTCTAGCCATTCCTGCAGCCATTCCTGTTACTCCCAGCCATTCCTAGCATTCCCGAATATTCAATCGGGCCATTAACACGAAGCTATTGTGAATTACTTTTCTCGCGTGTGTGTGTGTGTGTGTGTGAGAGAGAGGAGGGAGGGGTGAGAGGGGAGGAGGGGTGAGAGGGGAGTGGAGGGTGAGAGGGAAGTGAGTGGGAGGGGTGAGAGGGGAGTGAGTGGGAGGGGAGTGAGAGGGGTGAGAGGGGGCGAGGAAGTGGAGGAGGGGGTGAGAGGGGGGTGAGGAGGAGAGGGGAGTGAGTGGGAGGGGAGTGAGAGGGGTGAGAGGGAAGTGAGTGGGACTATCGGATCTTAAATAATATATCACAGTCTGACCTTTAACTTTCATTAAAAAAATCGTCTGGTGTCTGTCTCTCTATCTCTCTTTATCTCTCTCTCTCTCTTTATCTCTCTATTTCTCTCTCTCTCTTTATCTCTCTATTTCTCTCTCTCTCTCTTTATCCCTCTATTTCTCTCTCTCTCTTTATCTCTCTATTTCTCTCTCTCTCTTTATCTCTCTATTTCTCTCTCTCTTTATCTCTCTATTTCTCTCTCTCTCTTTATCCCTCCATTTATCTCTCTCTCTTTATCCCTCCCTTTATCTCTCTATTTCTTTCTCTCTCTTTATCCCTCTATCTTTCTCTCTATTTCTCTCTCTCTTTATCCTTCCCTTTATCTCCCTTTCTCTCTCTTTATCCCTCCCTTTATCTCCCTTTCTCTCTCTCTCTCTCTCTCTCTTTCTTTATCTCCCTTTCTCTCTCTCTTCTAACAGGACTTAGAGAAAAACGAAACACCATTACCAACAGAAGGACGTCAACGGTACACCACAACAGAAGGACGTCAACGGTACACCACAACAAGGACGTCAACGGTACATCACAACAGAAGAATGTCAACAGTACACCACAACAGAAGGACGTCAACGGTACACCACAACAGAAGGACGTCAACGGTACACCACAACAGAAGGACGTCAACGGTACATCACAACAGAAGGACGTCAACGGTACACCACAACAGAAGGACGTCAACGGTACATCACAACAGAAGGACGTCAACGGTACACCACAACAGAAGGGCGTCAACGGTACATCACAACAGAAGGGCGTCAACGGTACATCACAACAGAAGGACGTCAACGGTACACCAACAGAAGGACGTCAACGGTACATCACAACAGAAGGACGTCAACGGTACACCACAACAGAAGGACGTCAACGGTACATCACAACAGAAGGACGTCAACGGTACATCACAACAGAAGGACGTCAACGGTACATCACAACAGAAGGACGTCAACGGTACACCACAACAGAAGGACGTCAACGGTACACCACAACAGAAGGACGTCAACGGTACATCACAACAGAAGGACGTCAACGGTACATCACAACAGAAGGACGTCAACGGTACATCACAACAGAAGGTCAACGGTACACCACAACAGAAGGACGTCAACGATACATCACAACAGAAGGACGTCAACGGTACACCACAACAGAAGGACGTCAACGGTACATCACAACAGAAGGACGTCAACGGTACATCACAACAGAAGGACGTCAACGGTACATCACAACAGAAGGGCGTCAACGGTACACCACAACAGAAGGACGTCAACGGTACATCAACAGAAGGACGTCAACGGTACATCACAACAGAAGGACGTCAACGGTACACCACAACAGAAGGGCGTCAACGGTACACCACAACAGAAGGACGTCAACGGTACATCACAACAGAAGGACGTCAACGGTACATCACAACAGAAGGACGTCAACGGTACATCACAGAAGGGCGTCAACGGTACATCACAACAGAAGGACGTCAACGGTACATCACAAACAGAAGGACGTCAACGGTACATCACAACAGAAGGACGTCAACGGTACATCACAACAGAAGGACGTCAACGGTACATCACAACAGAAGGACGTCAACGGTACATCACAACAGAAGGACGTCAACGGTACATCACAACAGAAGGACGTCAACGGTACATCACAACAGAAGAAATGTCAACGGTACATCACAACAGAAGAATGTCAAAGGTTCATCACAACAGAAGGACGTCAACGGTACACCACAACAGAAGGACGTCAACGGTACATCACAACAGAAGGACGTCAACGGTACACCACAACAGAAGGACGTCAACGGTACATCACAACAGAAGGACGTCAACGGCACCACAACAGAAGGACGTCAACGGTACACCACAACAGAAGGACGTCAACGGTACATCACAACAGAAGGACGTCAACGGTACATCACAACAGAAGGACGTCAACGGTACATCACAACAGAAGGACGTCAACGGTACATCATAACAGAAGGACGTCAACGGTACATCACAACAGAAAGGCATCAACGGTACACCACAACAGATTAAAGATCCCGGAAAACCAACAGAAGGGCGTCAACGGTAATATCTGGCTAACAGGACATCTATCGTAGGATCTCACGGGAAATTTAGGATGAGTTACATTCCAGGTAGGACTCTCCAGGTAGGACTCTCCAGGTAGGACTCTCCAGGTAGGACTCTCCAGGTAGGACTCTCCAGGTAGGACTCTCCAGGTAGGACTCTCCAGGTAGGACTCTCCAGGTAGGACTCACATATATAGTTATGAGGGGTTAAGATCTGCTATGACTGTGGTAGGACTCTAGTAGGACTCTATCAGGACTATTAGATCTCTAACAGGACTCTAATAGAACCCAAGAGAACTTCACCAGAACCAACATAACTCTAATAGGACTCTCACAGGACTCTAATAGGACTCTCACAGGACTCTAATAGGACTCTCACAGGACTCAAATAGGACTCTCACAGGACTCTCACAGGACTCTAATAGCACTCTCACAGGACTCTCAACACTACCTCAGGACCCTAATAGCACTCTCACAGGACTCAAATAGGACTCCCCACAGGACTCTAATAGGACTCTCACAGGACTTCAATAGGACCACAGGACTCAAATAGGACTCTCACAGGAATCTAATAGGACTCTCAAGGACTCCAAATAGGACTCTCACAGGACTCTCACAGGACTCTAATAGCACTCTCACAGGACTCTAACAGCCTCACAGGACTCAAATAGGACTCTCACAGGACTCTAATAGGACTCTCACAGGACCTCTAATAGGACTCTCACAGGACTCCTAATAGGACTCAAAGACCTCACAGACTCTAATAGCACCCCCACAGGACTCAAATAGGGACTCTCACAGGACTCAAATAGGACCTCACAGGACTCTAATAGCACTCTCACAGGACTCAAATAGGACTCTCACAGGACTCATAGGACTCTCACAGGACTCAATAGGACTCCCACAGGACTCTCAAGGACTCAACAGGGCTCACAGGACTAATAGCACTCTCACAGGACTCAAACAGACTCTCACAGGACTCTAATAGGACTCTCACAGGACCCAATAGGACTCTAATAGGACTCTAATAGGACTCTCACAGGACTCTCACAGGACTCTAATAGGACTCTCACAGGACTCTAATAGCACTCTCACAGGACTCAAATAGGACTTCACAGGACTCTAATAGCACTCTCACAGGACTGAAATAGCACTCTCACAGGACTCAAATAGACTCTCACAGGACTCTCTCACAGGACTCAAATAGCACTCTCACAGGACTCAAATAGGACTCTCACAGACTCTAATAGGACTCTCACAGGACTCTAATAGGACTAATAGGACTGGCCTCACAGGACTCTCATAGCACCCCACAGGACTCTAATAGGACTCTCACAGGACTCTAATAGGACTCTAATAGGACTCAAATAGCATTCTCACAGGACTCTAATAGCACTCTCACAGGACTCAAATAGGACTCTCACAGGACTCTCACAGGACTCAAATAGCACTCTCACAGGACTCAAATAGGACTCTCACAGGACTCTAATAGGACTCTCACAGGACTCTAATAGGACTCTAATAGGACTCAAATAGCACTCTCACAGGACTCTAATAGACTCTCACAGGACTCTAATAGGACTCTCACAGGACTCTAATAGGACTCTAATAGGACTCAAATAGCATTCTCACAGGACTCTCATAGCACTCCCACAGGACTCTAATAGGACTCACAGGACTGTAATAGCTCTCTAATAGGACTCTCACAGAACTCTCACAGGACTCTAATAGGACTCTCACATGACCCAAATAGGACTCTCACAGAACTCTCACAGGACTCTAATAGGACTCTCACAGAACTCTCACAGGACTCTAATAGGACTCTCACATGACCCAAATAGGACTCTCACAGAACTCTCACAGAACTCTAATAGGACTCTCACATGACCCAAATAGGACTCTCACAGGACTCTAATAGGACTCTCACTGACAGGACTCACGTATCAGGTGTTGGTGAGCAAGGAGCTGAACTTTGGACAGGTGACACGTCCCTTAGCTGCAGGATGATCTCTTGAGGATAGACAGAACCTGGAGGGATACCAACCTGACCCCCGACCCTGCCGAGGAGTTCCTTGGGCCCTGCCGCCTTCCTCATCACCTGCAGGAGGAACCGGTTAATAGACGAAATGGGGTAATAGACGGGGTTAATAGACAATAGACGGGGTTAAGACGCAGGTTAATAGACGGGGTAATAGATGGGGTTATACGGGGTAATAGACGGGTGAATAGACGAAGCAAATGGGGTAATAAACGGGTTAATAGACGGGTTAATAGACGGGTTAATAGACGGGGTAATAGACGGGCGAATAGACGTTAATAGACGGGGGTAATAGACGGGGGTAATAGACGGGGTAATAGACGGAGTAATAGACGGGGAGATAACATAGACGGGGTTAATAGACGGGAATAGATGGGGTAAATAGACGGGTTAATAGACGGGGTTAATAGACGGGGTAATAGACGGGTAATAGACGGGTTAATAGACGGGGGTACAGACGGGGTAATAGACGGGTTAATAGACTGGTTAATAGACGGTTAAAAGACGGGGTTAATAGATGGGGGTAATAGACGGGGTTAATAGATCGGGGTAATAGACGGGTTAATAGACGGGGGTAATAGACGGTTAATAGACGGGGTAATAGACGGGGGTAATAGACGGGTTAATAGACGGGGTAATAGACGGGTTAATAGATGGGGGTAATAGACGGAGTTAATAGACGGGGTAATAGACGGGTAATAGAGGGGGTAATAGACGGGGGTAATAGACGGGTAATAGACGGGGTTAATAGACGGGGGGTACAGACGGGGGTAATAGATGGGGGTACAGACGGGGTATAGACAGGGTTAATAGACGGGGTTAACAGACATTAATAGACTAACAATAGACGAGGACTAAAGTACAGACATTAATAGACAAAGTAACAGACAAGGTAACAGACTGGGGAACAGACAGGGTAACAGACTCCAAAGAACAGATAAAGCAGACAATAGACGGGCAATAGACTAATAGAACAGGGACCAAGTAATAGATGGGGTAATAGACGGGCAATAGACAAATATTGAGATCTAACAGACAAAGTAATAGACTAAAGACCAATTAAAGAGAAATAAAGGATAGACGGGAACAGACAAGAACGAAAAATAGACAAGTAACAGACGGGTAACAGACGTAATAAACAGACTAAAGAATAGAACAGAGTCAATAGACAGCAATAGACGGGCACAGACCAGCAAAGACTAAAGGACAATAGCACAGGCTAAAGACGGGTTAATAGACGGTTAATAGACTAAATAACAGATCTAAGTAATAGACAAAGTAATAGACAGGGGTAATAGACGGGGGTAATAGATTTAAGCACAGACGGTTAATAGACGGGTTAATAGACGTTAATAGACGGTGGAATAGACGGGGTAATAGACGGGGTAATAGACGGGAACAGACGGGGGAAGACGGGAATAGACGGGGCAATAGACAGGGGTAATAGACGGGGTAATAGACGGGGTAATAGACGGGGGAATAGACGGGGAATAGACGGGGAATAGATGGGGAACAGACGGGTTAATAGACGGGGTAATAGACGGGGGTAATAGACGGGTAATAGAAGGGGTAATAGACGAGGTTAATAGATGGGGTTAATAGACTGAGTAATAGACGGGTATAGACGGGGTAATAGATGGGGTAATAGACGGGGTAATAGACGGGGTTAATAGACGGAGGTAATAGACGGGTAATAGATTTAAATAGAATGTAATAGACTAGTAATAGACGGGTGGAATAGTGGAAGAGGTTAAATAGAGGTTGAAGTGAAAAGGTCAACATATACACTATTGAAATGACCTTTTAATAAGCTGGGTGACCTCTGACCTGTGGCTTATGGTGATGATAATGTGAGAGAGAGAGGAGAGAGAGAGAGAGAGGAGAGAGAGAGAGAGAGAGACTGTTAATTTGCATCACAAAAATTCCTAATAAAATTAAAGAGAGAAATGTTGAGAGAGACGATGGTGTGTGTGTGTGTGTGTAAGAGAGCACACACACACACACACACACACACACACACACACACACACACACACACACACACACACACACACACACACACACACACACACACGCACACACACACACACACCCACACCCGTGAATTAACGACCAACAAAATCACTAAACAAAGAGAATACAAATAAATCCTCACGAACTTTTACACACACCAGCACAGCACACACCAACAGGTACACACACCAAATGTACACACACCAACAGTACACACACCAACAGGTACACACACCAACAGGTACACACACCAGCAGGTACACACACCAGCATGTCACACACACCAACAGGCACACACACAGCATGTACACACACCAAACAGGTACAGACACCCAACAGCACACACCAGCATGTACACACACCAGCATGTACACACACCAACAGGCACACACACCAGCATGTACACACACCAGCATGTACACACACCAACAGGTACACACACACCAACAGGTACACACACCAGCAGGTACACACACCAACAGGTACAGACACCAACAGGTACACACACCAGCATGTACACACACCAGCATGTAAACACACCAACAGGTACACACACCAGCATGTACACACACCAGCATGTACACACACCAACAGGTACACACACCAACAGTACACACACACCAGCATGTACACACACCAACAGGTACACACACCAACAGGTACACACCAGCATGTACACACACCAACAGGTACACACACACCAACAGGTACACACACCAGCAGGTACACACACCAACAGGTACAGACACACCAACAGGTACACACACCAGCATGTACACACCAGCATGTACACACACCAACAGGTACACACACCAACAGGTCACACACACCAACAGGTACAGACACCAACAGGTACACACACCAGCATGTACACACACCAACAGGTCACACACACCAACAGGTACACACACCAGCATGTACACACACACCAGCATGTACACACACCAACAGGTACACACACCAACAGGTACACACACCAGCAGGTACACACACCAGCAGGTACAGACACCAACAGGTACACACACCAGCATGTACACACACCAGCATGTAAACACACCAACAGGTACACACACCAGCATGTACACACACCAGCATGTACACACACACCAACAGGTACACACACCAACAGGTACACACACACCAGCATGTACACACACCAGCATGTACACACACCAACAGGTACACACACACCACACACACACCAGCATGTACACACACCAACAGGTACACACACACCACAGGTACACACACCAGCATACACACCAGCATGTAAACACACCAACAGGTACACACACCAGCATGTACACACACACCAGCATGTACACACCAGGTACAGACACCAACAGGACACACACCAGCTGTACACACACCAGCATGTAAACACACCAACAGGTACACACACCAGCATGTACACACACCAGCAGGTACACACAAACATGTACACACACCAGCATGTACACACACCGGCATGTACACACACCAACAGGTACACACCAGCATGTACACACACACCAGCAGGTACACACACCAACATGTACACACACCAGTACACACACCAGCATGTACACACACCAACAGGTACACACACCAACAGGTACACACACCAGCAGGTACACACACCAGCAGGTGCACACACACCACATGTACACACACCAGCATGTACACACACCAGCATGTAAACACACCACATGTACACACACCAACAGGTACACACACCAGCATGTACACACACCAGCATGTACACACCAACAGGTACACACACCAGCATGTACACACACCAGCAGGTACACACCAACATGTACACACACCAGCATGTACACACACCAGCATGTACACACACCAACAGGTACACACACACCAGCATGTACACACACCAACAGGCACACACACCAGCATGTACACACACCAGCATGTACACACACCAACAGGTACACACACCAGCATGTACACACACAGCAGGTACACACACCAACATGTACACACACCAGCATGTACACACACCAGCATGTACACACACCAACAGGTACACACACCAACAGGTACACACACCAGCAGGTACACACACCAGCAGGTACACACACCATGCACACACACACCAGCATGTACACACACACCAGCAAGTACACACACCGGCATGTACACACACCAGCATGTACACACACCAACATGATACACACCAACATGCACACACACCAGCATGTACACACACCAACAGGTCACACACACCAACAGGTACACACACCAGCAAGTACACACACCAGCATGTACACACCAGCATGTACACACACCAGCATGTACACACCAGCATGTACACACACCAACATGTATATACACCAACATGTACACACACCAGCATGTACACACATCAACATGTACACACACATACACACACACACACAACAGGACCAGGTCACATTAGCCATGCTCAGTAAAGGTTAAATGTCGGGAGATAAAGGAGAGCTGTCAGTGAGTGGAGGGAGGAGGAGGAGGAGGAGGAGGAGGAGGAGGAGGAGGAGGAGGAGGAGGAGGAGTAAGAGGAGGAAGAGGGGAGGAGGAGGAGGAGGAGGAGCAGGAGGAGGGGGGACCGGAGGAGGAGGAGGAGGGGGAGGAGGAGGGGGAGGGAAGAGGAGGAGGAAGAGGAGGAGCAGGAGGAGGAGGAGGAGGAGGGAGGAGGAGGAGGAGGAGGAGGGGAGGAAGAGGGGAGGGAGGAAGAGGAGGAGAAGAGGAGGAGGGGAGGAGGAGAGGAGGGAGGAGGAGGAGGAGGAGCAGGAGGAGTGGGGACGGAGGAGGAGGAGGGAGGGGGAGGAAGAGGAGAGGAAGAGGAGGAGGACGAGTAAGAGAGGAAGAGGGGAAGAGGAGGGAGGGAGGAGGAGGAGGAGGAGGAGGAGGGAGGAGGAGGAGGAGAGGAGGAGGAGGAGGCAGAGGAGGGGGA